CTTGGTCCCAAAGATGAGGGGGTAGTTGTACCTCCTCCCATGGGAGACTTAAGTCTCGGGATACTCCCCAGATAGGGAGCCAAGGCCGGGTCACCACTACTTGGAAAAGACCCGGGCCGGGAGAATACCGGCGAACAAAAAAAAAAAAAAAAAAAAAATACACTACATACACGGTATACACTACATACACGGTACACACTACATACACAGTATGTACTACATACACAGTATACACTACATACACGGATACCTACACGGTAACACTACATACACAGTATACACTACATACACAGTATACACTACATACACAGTATACACTACATACATGGTATACACTACATACACAGTATACACTACATACACAGTATACACTACATACACGGTATACACTACATACACGGTATACACTACATACACGGTACACACTACATACACAGTATGTACTACATTCACAGTATACACTACATACACGGTATACACTACATACACAGTATACACTACATACACAGTATACACTACATACACAGTATACACTACATACACAGTATACACTACATACACAGTATACACTACATACACGGTATACACTACATACACGGTACACACTACATACACAGTATGTACTACATTCACAGTATACACTACATACACAGTATACACTACATACACAGTATACACTACATACACAGTATACACTACATACACAGTATACAGTCTCTCCCCACTTAATGACATACTCATTTAACGACTGCTCGGACTTACGACCAGCTCTCTGACCAGTGTGCATACCTATGTGTATTAGAGCTGATGTCCTATATTCTGTTTATTACAATATACAGTACAATACTGTATAAACATTTAAAGATATACTAAAAATGTTATAAATGGTGCAAAGGAGACATTAAAACAATATTTAAAAATGGTTGACACAAACCCACTATCAGTATAGTATGCTCCTTGTTTAATGGCCAATTCGTTTACCAACCTACTCTTAGGAACAGAACTCCATCGTTAAGTGAGGAGAGACTGTACACTACATACACAGTATACACTACATACACAGTATACACTACACACAAGCATACCAGCACATATATACCAACAGACACTAACAAACAAATTTACACTTACACACTTACACATACACATTCACACACACACACCAACACACACACACACACACACACACAACACACCACACACTTACACTTACACACACTTACACTTACACACACTTACACTTACACACACTTACACTTACACTCACACACACTTACACTTACACACACTTACACTTACACACACTTACACTTACATACACTTACACACACTTACACTTACACACACTTACACACACTTACACTTACACACACTTACACTTACACATACACACACTTACACTTACACACACTTACACTTACACACACACATACACTTTTCTGTGTGTAACAGAAAAGTTATCAGGTCAAAGGCACTCTCAAAAACAGGGAGAGGAGGGGACTGAAGGAAGCAGTTGGCACTACCTGGAAATGATGATGGATGATCTGAGAAGGGAGTTTGAGGGAAAGATCAGTTATCTTTGGAGAGAAACTGAAGCAATTTGCAAAGAAAGGAGAGAGAAAATCATAGGAGAGATAAACGATCAACCACGGCAGAGGAAAGTTTCCGCAAAGCTTGTAGAGGAAATGGTAAGGCTGAAGTAGACTACAGAAAGAAAAATGAGGGAGGGTTTTGAGTAGAAATTCAATTCATTCTGGGAGGAAACAAGTGGAGGTATGTAACATAGCCAGGGAAGAGGCTGCAGAATAGGTAAATAGGGCTAATTCAGAAGAAGACAGAGCCCTAAAACTGGAAGAGAAAGTAAGAGTTGAAGGAGACCATGAAGGAAATGAGAGGAAGGTTAGTATAGGCAGAAGTAGTGAAGGAAGGAAAGGGAGCCCTGGGATTCAGAGAGAACAATGAAGGAAAGTCACTGGCAATGATACTCTCTGAAGACAGAAAGGCTAAGGTGATAAATGAGACAGCAAGGGAAATGGTAAAAACAAAGAAATCTGGAAGGAGAAGCAATGGGAGGAAGGAGGGAGGTCACTGATGATCCATGTATTCCAGGAAGCTGAATGTGGCTTGGGTAGTAGCAGATGGAAAGATGAGGAGCAGAAGATTACATAAATCATGATGTACACAACAGAATGGGAAAGTGATAGGGCAGATGCCAAATTTTTAGAGGATTGGGAAGTTCTCCCACTGCAAACACTGCCCAATCATACTAACATTTAGGTCCCATATAGCTTAGAAAAAATCATACAACAGTAAGCGTGCTCAAGGGCTTTACAATGCTACGTTAGCAAAAGCGTAAATATAAAATCTATGGCTCTTGATAAATCTCTACTAAAATGTAAGCTCTCAATACATGCATAAAATGAGCCATGTTGTGTCTACCCAGATCAGGACAGGACAATAACAGTAGAAACAGTTAACGGAGTATGTGAAAATCCATTGAAAGTGGAGAACAGCAGAACACAAGGAACTAGGAGGTGGCAACACTCCAACTCAAGATATTTCTCCAGATGCACCCTTGACCCCTTTCCCAGCTGGAAGAACTCTAGGCCAGTCCCCAACTCCCGAGCACAATCACTAAAACTGACCTCCCCCACTCTTCACCTTCTCCCTACACCCTCACCACCCTCTTCCCCCTCCTGCCCTTAACCCTGTCCCTGACCCCTTCCTTTGTAGGGAGGCCCACAACAATCCCAGCCCAACCTCCACCATTTCTGTTAGATGAGCAGCATGAAGAGGGAGTAGACATAAACCAGTGCATGGTAACGGACAATAGTATCAGTGCAGTATACTAAGCCAACATTGGGCTTAGTATACTTAGTACAGTATACTTAGTATAGACTATTCAACATACTACCAGCAAATAGAAATACTGAAGGAACAAGTGTAGAAGTCTACGAGAGAAAACATAATAAAAATCTCTACTAAGTGCCAGAACAACGAGGCTGTGATGGATATGTGGGCCAGCTGGCTGTAACAGCAACAGCCTGGTCTACTAAGCAAGCACCTAAAAAGCTCAGCCTCATTCTAGGCTACAAAATTAAGAAGATCTGAGCGCTTGACAAAGCTCCTGGAGAGTGAAATGTTGGCACAATAAAATGTCACATTAGTTGCACTTGAGTCCTTTTACTTAAAATTAAGAAGACTTTCAAAATCAGTTGAAAGTAGATTGCAGGAATGTGATTGGGAAAAACAATGTGCTTGATACTAAATACTTGTCCTGCCTAATAAAATAGGAGGGTGAAATAAACTAAACTGCCTTAAATATATAATTTTTCAAAAATTTTACCTTATGCATTGATAGATAAATTCAAGTAAATTAAGAGGGCATGTAAATTCTAAATTCTGCATCAAAACTTATTTAGCAACCTAACAAAATATTGATAAAATTAACCCATTGAGGGTCCGTGCCGTAGATTTACAGCTTTACGCTGAGGGTCCAAACCGTAGATCTACTTCATGAGCTCAGCTCACTCTGATAAGCTGCGAGCGGTAAATTTGGGCCTAGATATGAGAGAATACATCTATGTGGTATGTGTGCACCACATAAAACCAATCCTGCAGCACATAGTGCATAATGAGAGAAAAAAAACAGACCGTAATTGTCGATTAAAACAGCGACTTCGCAGTGTTTTTTCGTATGTTTTTTATAGTTGTATTTGCGATTTCTTGGTCTCATTTGATAGAATGGAAGATATATTACAGAAATAGAAATGATTTTGATTGGTTTTTGTACTGGAAATGGCTTGAAACTGAGCTCAAAGTAAACAAATGATGTTCAAGAGTAAACAAATGACCTCACACATCTAATACATGCCTGCTGGTGGGTCTAATATACATTCACAAATGTGCTGATATTATTTATACAATTATTACAATATTGCATAACAGTAAATCTTCTATTTTTTGGTTTGAATAAAAATTCATTATGTGAATAAAATATCAAAATGGAATTCATTAGTAAAGCCTGAAAACGTTACTAATGAACAGAGGAAATGTTAGTTTAGTGCCAGGAATCTCTGCATTGTTTATTCTGGACCCTATTTTGAAATTGGAGTAATTTGAACTTTGCATTAAACTGACCAAATTACCAAATTCCGATTACTTTATTTTGTAGTTGAAACAGTTGACTTGGCGAATTCTTGTGCTCAATCGATAGAATAGCAGTAATACTAGTGAAATAGCTAAGAATTTGGTCTACTGGAATAATATAATTGGCCTGAAATGGGAGTCAAAGTCAGCAAAATCACCAATGCATAAATATTGCTGACGCATCGAAATTCACGAGAGCATAATTTCCGTCAATTTTCCATCAAATTTCATACTTTTTGTTTTATTACCTTCAGAAATAGATTCTCTACCATTTCATAAGAAAAAATAACAAAATTATTTTTTGAAAATTCTTGGATGCTGGTGTGCACTTTGAAATTTGGCCTCTGGACCCTGAAAGGGTTAACTTAGTAGTGTATAATAAACAATATATACTATAAATAAGTTTTTTTTTTAACACCAAATTTTAAAAGCAAATAAAAGTAATGGCTCAACTAATTCATGAGTAACACTTCCGAGTTTGAAATCCTGAAATACTGAGGGCACACGGCACACCAGATTCCTATTTATTTTATTTTTACAAATTGAAAGCTAAATCACACTTGGTAATCACACATGGGAGGGGAAAGGAAGGAAGGGCCTTCATTTTATTAAAAGAAATGCTTAGTAAAAAGGAATTTCTTTGCTGCAGATGTAGCAAGATTAGTTTTAACTCGCATAGTAACCACACTAAGTCACTTTCTCTTAACTTTACACTGTACCTAATTTTCATTTCAGTTACAAAACAGAGAACATAATTTTATTTGCAAGCACAGACATTTTATATGACTAATGACTTAATTTAGGAATCAAAATGCCATGTAAACAAATCTAAAATAAACCAAAAATATTACCTTTAGGACTTGTCGCTGCTGAATATGAAGATCCCTGAGCAGCTGGAGTAGATGCAACTGCTGTTCCTTGAACAGCAATTCCCAAAGTTGGGTCTGTTTTGCAAGGTTCTGATACTGGTAACTGGGATTTTGCTACTGCTTGGGATGCAGTGGCTGCTATCGTTGGTTTGTTTGGTATTTCTTCCTGTGGTGATCTTGTTACTGGTGAGGGATTTTCTTGTCTGAAAGCAATCATTTAAGAGAATTATGTAGTGGCTAACAGGAAACCAGCACTTCAGAGTTGTGTGCTGAATAGGTGTTCCTACAAGAATATATATCAAACACTAATACTATATACACAAATCAAAGTGTATAGTGACCAAGTGAAACTAAGTGTAGGCTTACAGCTTGCTTGCTCTGTGTGTGTGTGTGTTGTGTGTGTGTTGTGTGTGTGTTGTTGTGTGTGTTGTGTGTGTGTGTTGTGTGTGTGTTGTGTGTGTGTGTTTGTGTGTGTGTTGTGTGTTGTGTGTGTTGTGTGTGTGTGTTGTGTGTGTGTGTTGTGTGTGTGTGTGTTGTGCGTGTGTGGTGTGTGTTGTGCGTGTGGTTGTGCGTGTGTTGTGTGTGTTGTGTGTGTTGTGTGTGTGTGTTGTGTGTGTGTGTGTGTGTGTTGTGTGTGTTGTGTTGTGTGTGTTGTGTTGTGTGTGTGTTGTGTGTTGTGTTGTGTTGTGTTGTGTTGTGTTGTGTTGTGTGGTGTGTGTGTGTGTGTGTGTGTGTGTGTGTGTGTGTGTGTGTGTGTGTGTGTGTGTGTGTGTGTGTGTGTGTGTGTATTCACCTAGTTGAGGTTGCAGGGGTCGAGTCCTAGCTCCTGGCCCTGCCTCTTCACTGGTATCTACTATATCACGCTGTGTTAGTTACCATTTTGTCCTAGGCACATGTCGATTAGACACTAGGCCTGTAGTATATGCGTGTGTGTGTGTGTGTGTGTGACTCACCTAGTTGAGGTTGCAGGGGTCGAGTCCAAGCTCCTGGCCCCGCCTCTTCACTGGTCGCTACTAGGTCACTCTCCCTGAGCCGTGAGCTTTATCGTACCTCTGCTTAAAGCTATGTATGGATCCTGCCTCCACTACATCGCTTCCCAAACTATTCCACTTACTGACTACTCTGTGGCTGAAGAAATACTTCCTAACATCCCTGTGATTCATCTGTGTCTTCAACTTCCAACTGTGTCCCCTTGTTGCTGTGTCCAATCTCTGGAACATCCTGTCTTTGTCCACCTTGTCAATTCCTCTCAGTATTTTGTATGTCGTTTTTCATGTCCCCCTATCTCCCCTGTCCTCCAGTGTCGTCAGGTTGATTTCCCTTAACCTCTCCTCGTAGGACATACCTCTTAGCTCTGGGACTAGTCTTGTTGCAAACCTTTGCACTTTCTCTAGTTTCTTTACGTGCTTGGCTAGGTGTGGGTTCCAAACTGGTGCCGCATACTCCAAATTATGGCCTAACGTTACACGGTGTACAGGGTCCTGAATGACTCCTTATTAAGATGTCGGAATGCTGTTCTGAGGTTTGCTAGGCGCCCATATGCTGCAAGCAGTTATTTGGTTGATGTGCCTGGTGTTATACTCACCCAAGATCTTTTTCTTTGAGTGAGGTTTGTAGTCTCTGGCCCCTAGACTGTAAATCCGTCTGCGGCCTTCTTTGCCCTTCCCCAATCTTCATGACTTTGCATTGGTGGGATTGAACTCCCGGAGCCAATTGCTGGATCAGGTCTGCAGCCTGTCCAGATCCCCTTTTTACTTCTGCCTGGTCTTCGATCGAGTGAATTCTTTCATCAACTTCACGTCATCTGCAAACAGGGACACCTCAGAGTCTATTCCTTCCGTCATGTCGTTCACAAATATCAGAACAGCACTGGTCCTAGGACTGACCCCTGTGGGACCCGCTGGTCACAGGTGCCCACTCGGACACCTCGAACTACCATGCCCTCGCGCTGTCTTCCGGGAAAAGTTTTCCCCTGATCCATTTTTTGTGCCTTCCCTGTTACCCCCTGCTCGGTCCTTCAGTTTTTGCACCAATTCTTGTGGGGAAACTGTGCCCAAAGCCTTTTTGGGCCGGGGTAAAGAATTGCTTCCCCCACCCCCTCCTCCGGTTTTAAAATTTTTGCTGTCCCCTTTGTCTTTAGAACCCGGGTGGGTTTTGTGACACGGTTTTTCCCCGTCCCTGCCCATTGGGCTGCTGGTTGATGAGTTTCTTTCCTTTCTAGGTTTTTTTTCCCCCACTCTTCTCTGTTTAATTTTCCATGATTTTCCCATAAAATACCATGTCGGGGACATGGTCTGTAGTTTAATGCTTCATGTCTTTTCCCCTTTTTTTAAAGATTGGGATAATTTGGGGGTGTTTCATGCCTCGGGGCAATTCCCGTTCGATAGATGAAATTAAATTATTGTTTTTTGGGGTCCCAAATAGCGTTTGGTTTCCAATCCCCAAGGGGGAGTTTGTTTTTGGCCCCCCTTTGCCTTTGAGGTATCTAGCTCATCAAAAACCCCTTTTTCCCACTTCTTCCTGGTTGTGTGCACTGTTTTTCCAGCATTTGGGTTTGGTGGGCCCCCCCCTCCCCGTTTTAGGAGGCCCCTTCTTTCCTCTGTAAACACTTCTTTAAATTTCCTTTTTGAGTTCCTAAATTATTCACAGTCATTTCTTGTTGTCTCTCCCCCTTCCCTTTTCCTTACCCTGATTCCTTTGGTCCCTTTATGTGTTTTCCCCCTGATGTGGCTGTAAAACAGTTTCTGGTCAGATTTGGCTTTTTTCTGCTATGTATTTTCCCTTTGTCTTTGGGCCCCCTTCTTAAACTGTGCATATTCGTTTCTGGCTCTACGACTGCTCTCCTTATTCTCCTGGGTCCTTTGCCTTCTATATTTCTTCCATTCCCTAGCACACTTGGTTTTTGCCTCCCTGCACCTTTGGGTAAACCATGGGCTCATCCTGGCTTTTTCATTATTCCTGTTACCCTTGGGTACAAACCTCTCCTCAGCCTCCTTGCATTTTGTTGCTACATATTCCATCATCTCATTAACTGGCTTCCCTGCCAGTTCTTTGTCCCACTGAACCCGTTCAGGAAGTTCCTCATTCCTGTGTAGTCCCCTTTCTTGTAGTTTGGCTTCATTCGTCCTGGCCTTCCTGCTTCTCCCTCCACTTGTAGCTCTACTGTGTATTCGAAGCTTAAAAACCACATGGTCACTGGCCCCAAGGGGTCTTTCATATGTGATGTCCTCGATATCTGCACTACTCAAGGTGAATACTAAGTCCAGCCTTGCTGGTTCATCCTCTCCTCTCTCTCTTGTAGTGTCCCTTACGTGTTGGTACATGAAGTTTTCCAGTACCACCTCCATCATCTTAGCCCTCCATGTATCTTGGCCCCCATGCGGGTCCAAGTTCTCCCAATCGATCTCCTTGTGATTAAAGTCACCCATGATCAGGAGCTTTGCCCTGCATGCATGAGCTCTTCTGGCCACTCTAGCCAGTGTGTCAACCATCGCTCTATTGCTCTATTGTGTGTGTGTAATTGTGTAAGTGTGTGTGTAAGTGTGTGTGTGTAAGTGTGTGTGTGTGTGTGTGTGTGTGTGTGTGTGTGTGTGTGTGTGTGTGTGTGTGTGTGTGTGTGTGTGTGTGTGTGTGTGTGTGTGTGTGTGTGTGTGTGTGTGCGCGTGTGAGCGTGTGTGAGTGCGCGTGCGTGCGCGCATGTGTGTGCATGCACATGTGCGTGCGTGTGCATGTGCGCGTGTGTGCATGCACATCAGAACAAGCTTATAAATAAGAAGGCATTTTTGCCTTAAACAGAGTGAATAGTCTTCTGATAAAAGATTCACTTTGCTATGCACATTTCACATTCCTACAAGAATTCTTTTAAATTAATCTATTTATTAAGACTCAATGAACATAAACTGATCTTGACATACATTTAACAGAAATAATTATGCCAAGAGATTAACAAAAATTATTAAAAAAAAAAAAAGTTTGAAGTTCAGTCAGAAGAGTGGTTTAAGTCACCTTGGTGGCAGGAAAGAATGAGTGCTTGGAGGTGGTCTCCGGGGACGCTTCAGAGGAGGAGGTTGGTGTAGCTCTCCTATCTCACCACCACTCAAATAAGGTTCTTGAAGTCGTCCGATATCTCCACAAAAAAGCTGTGTAACAAAAATGGCAAAACTTAGGGAAACAAACGAAGCAAAAATCATGTAAATAAAGCAAACTGAAGTTAGGGTAAATAAAATTTAAAAACTCATTCTCAGATCAACAGCTACATGCAATATGGAACTTAACTGCAATAATAATAATTGCTATCATTACAGAATTTATTTTTTATATTGCCAGCCTCCAAAATACATCAAACAGTAGTTTTCATAATTTCCGTTTCATAGTTATATACCTTATGTTCATTTCAATAACTTTTATTGAATAAATACGCCTTCTCCCATGCTAAAAACGACATTTGATTTTCTTCACCTCATAAAATATAAGCACTGATGTATCAAAATTTCTTGTGCTGCTTTAATATCCAACAACTATTTTTATGATAGCCTTCATGCTCATTTCCAGCTGTTTTTGCTTTTCCCCACAACTATAGGTGATAATTCTTATTCTATCATGTGCTCTACAAAAACCTATAATTGGTAACCAGTTCTTAAGGATATCAGCCAAAAAAAAAAATATGTCATGGTCACTATGTAAACTTTTCTATTTCACACTTGTTCTTTATTTACCAACTAATGGAAATCCAAAATTAAAATTTATTGGTTAGTTGCTAAATAAGAACTTTTAAGAGGATATATTTAATAAAGAGGGGACCAAAATGCTGGGAGCAAGGGGCTAGTAACCCCTTCTCCAGTATAAATTACTAAATTTAGAAAGAAAAACTTAGTTTTTCTTTTCAGGTCACCCTGGCTCAGTGGGATACGGCCGTATTGCTAAACCTTAAGCTTTCCATAGATCTACGTTTACGCACATAACACTCTTAACGTAGATCTACTTTTTTTTTACACAAGAAACAATGTAAAATGGAACGTAGATCTACGTTCGGAGCATTACGAGTGCGAGTGTAAATCTATGTTTGGACAGTTTAAGAGTATAAAAAACTTAATGAATTGGTTTAACAATGGATCAGAGTAACAACCTCTTCTAAACACATTCAACCTCCTCTGCTGAATCTCTCTGCTACATTTGTTTTTTTTATGTGCAGTAACGTCATCACTTAATGGTCATCTCCATGCATGACCAAATGGAAATAAAAACATAAGTCACATTGTGTTCTAAGTAAGGGAATTCCTAGCACCACTATGACAACAACTGCTTACCAATGAAAGTGTTATCATAAGACTATGAAACCAAATAAAAAAATTGTGATTAAAAAAACAAAAAAACAAAAACACACTTTGCCTCTCACCTGCACAAAATATTATCTTTTAGCACTAACAGTCCTGTTTTCTATTCTATTTCCAATGTATGCTCTGCTGCCCCATTTTTAATCAGTATCAAATTATCATTATGGCATAATTCCCACAAGGCAGCCTCAGATATCATGGAATTTTTTTTTTTTTAACACATCGGCCGTTTCCCACCGAGGCAGAGTAACCCAAAAATGAAAAAACACTAAAGAAATTATAAATGCAAAATATTTAGAATAAACAAAGCACTGCAAAATGAGGCTATCATACACACGAATTACACAGTACGTACTGTCTACAGGGCCCCACTCACCCTCTGGTCAGGAGGCTTGGCATGGATGTTATTATTGTTGTTGTTTACTGCTGCCAACCCCTTAATCTGTAGGGCCTCTGCTGTTCGAATAAAACCTGGCAACTGATCCTGCATGACATTTACCTGGAAGAAAAATAATTGCAAAGATATCCAGATACTCATCCACTAATATTACCATATAAAGTATATTAACCATAAGGCACTAAAAATTATCAAGCACATCGTGTGCCCCTTTAAAAATATGTATGGCCAAAAGTCTACTCATAATCTTTTATCCATTAATACATAGTCTAACCCTGTAATTGTTTTACATGATGGAAGGATTGCTGATGTCCTTTTTTGTCTCATAAACATGCAAGATTTCAGGTACATCTTGCTACTTCTACTTACACTTAGGTCACACTACACATACATGTACAAGCATATATATATACACACCCTTCTGGGTTTTCTACTATTTTCCTTCTAGTTCTTGTTCTTGTTTATTTTCTCTTATCTCCAAGGGGAAGTGGAACAGAATTCTTCCTCCATAAGCCATGCATATTGTAAGAGGCGACTAAAATTGTCGGGGGCAAGGGGCTAGTAACCCCTTCTCTTGTATAAATTGCTTAATTTAAAAAGAGAAACTTTCGTTTTTCTTTTTCAGCCACCCTGCTTTGGTGGGATATGGCCGGTTTGTTGAAAAAAAAAAAAAGGATTGCTGGCATCTTTTTTCTGTCTCAAACATGCAAGATTTCAGGTACGTCTTGCTACTTCTTCTTACACTTAGGTCACAGTACACATACATGTATACAAGCATATATATATATACACCCCTCTGGGTTTTCTTCTATTTTCTTTCTAGTGCTTGTTCTTGTTTGTTTCCTCTTATCCCCATGGGAAAGTGGAGTAGAATTCTTCCTCCGTAAGCCATGCGTGTTGTAAGAGGCGACTATAATGCCGGGAGCAAGGGGCTAGTAACCCCTTCTCCTGTATAAGTTACTAAATTTAAAAAGAAAAACTTTTGTTTTTCCTTTTGGACCACCCTGCCTTGGTGGGATGCAGCCAGTTTGTTGGAGAAAAAAAAAAAGTTTAACAAACTGCTATCATTATTTTACTTAATTATACCTCGTATACTTATTTACCCACTTGAGTAACAAAATTGCAATAACACAATTGCAAACAAACCATGGAAAGGGTGTGGTCTGAAACAATGACAAGTTTTACAATGTCAGGCCAGTGTGTAAGCTACTCAGCCAGCTGGCTACAATACAATTCATCCCACTAGGTATATTTCTATACACCTAAGGGAGGTTAGCATGGGCCCAGGCTAACCTCTCTATAGCATATAGAAATATACCTAGTTGGATGAATTGTATTAAAGCCAGCTGGCTGAGTGGCTTATACACACTGGCTTGGAGTTTTAGGACTCACTTGCCATGGGTTCAACCCCACTCATTCTGAAGTTTATTTATCCTCTTCTTCCCCATTGTGATTTACCCCTGGCACTCTAAATTTTCCTGCTTCATCCTTTACTTATATAAAGCACTTGAAACTTGTTTCCAACATTAAAAACTTTTGAAAATTATTTACACCAATTTGGTAACAGTAATACTGTACTACTACATAATGTATTAAAAGTAAGGCTTAAAAAACACAAAATGATTTTTTATGATTAGAGATTGGTATATAGCAATGACTGCTGTGTGTTAATAATTACTGACATTGTAGTCTAAAGTTAAGCTTAGGCTTGCCCAAAATGCTCTGCATAACCATGGGCTTTCTGCATACACAACCAAATGTCACTTATCTTGGAAATAAATCTCTGACTCTGAAATTCAGATTTTCAATTATCCCCTCACTGCTTTCTACACTCTTTCCTGTTAAGTACAATAGCAAATCGAACTGTCACATTTAATTGATATTAAAATGAATATTAACTACAGGATTTCCTAAATATTATCTCAACTGTTTACCAAATGTCTTTCTCCTTACTTCCTTAAGTGAATGTGACCTGACCTGGCTAGGTAGGGTCATTGGCTTAAGCCGGTAGGAGACTTGGACGTGCCTCGCATGGGCCAGTAGACCTGCTGCAGTGTTCCTTCTTTCTTATGTTCTTACTTATTAAGTTTAAGAAAATGCTTTCAGATCCTTTCAGGAGTTTGGACACAAAAAGTGTACTGCCACTGTGTAAACCCTATGGATTAGCACTTCCCCCATAAAAATAATAATACTGGCAACAGTATTGAAGGAAAGACAGGTGCAGAGCCAGCTTTTATTGAGACAATGTTTTGCTTCTTAGGTTTCGTTCCCTGGGAAGTGTTACCTCTGTTTCCTAGTCAAGCCTCTTCCTTTTATAAAGGAAGTTTTCTATAATCCTCTTAATAGCTGTACAACCCATTCAGGTTTAACACTTTCTTCAGAATATAATAACCCCCTTTAAAACTCAAGTCTTCTCCCTCAAGTTATAATTATATGAATAATTAGAAATTATATCATTACAATTTTTTAAAAGTTATAACTTATGAAGGAGAAGACGTGAATATAATTATATATAAAAAAAATAGAAATTATCTTCTGTCTAGCATTGCTAACTTAAAACAAAGTCCCATGACTGAAATAAGTCAGAGTATTACGTTAGTACTGTGCATGACCATTAGCCAGACAATCTGGATGACTTAGGCTAAAAATAAAATAGTTATGTGCATCAAATTACCTACTTGGCCATTATAGATGAAGTCCATTATTGACTCCAACTCCCAAAACCTCACATCACGTAGAAAAATTATTGGGTGATCACTCGGATTCTCCTGAAATGTATAATAAGCATTAAAAATGTGGTTAATTAAAGAATGTTAAAAAAATTTTGAACAGCATTTGTTCTTTACATACAGACAAGCAAAATCTTTATTTCTGTAAAGCAGAGTACAATATAGTGGTACCTTGACATACGAGTTTAATTCGTTCTGTGACCGAGCTCATAACTCAATATACTCGTATATCAAATCAATTTTCCTCATTGAAATTAATTGAAATGCCATTTATCTGTTCCAGCCCGCAAAAACCATCTAAATTTTTTTGTTATGGGTTTTTAAATAAGAAAAATGTATTTTTTTTTTCCAACAAACCAGCCGTGTCCCACCAAAGCAGGGTGGCCCAAAAAGAAAAACGAAAGTTTCTCTTTTTACATTTAGTAATATATACAGGAGAAGGGGTTACTAGCCCCTTGCTCCTGGCATTTTAGTCGCCTCTGACAACACGCATGGCTTACAGAGGAAGATGACTCACGAAATCGTAATGACACGATTGCAAACAAACCATACCCCGGCCGGGATTGAACCCGTGGTCAGAGAGTCTCAAAACTCCAGCCCGTCGCGTTAGCCACTAGACCAGCTAGCCACAATAAGATTCGTCCAACTAGGTATATTTCTACACCATAGGAAGGTTAGCACAGGCACCACTGTGACCACAAATGCAAGTCATGTTGACGGCAGTGAAGGGACTTGAGCTAGAGTTTGTCACGGCCACGCTAGCTGGAGATTCGTCTGTAAAAACTTGCATTTGTAGTCACAGTGGTGCCTGTGCTAACCTTCCTATGGTGCAGAAATATACCTAGTTGGACGAATCTTATTGTGGCTAGCTGGTCTAGTGGCTAACGCGACGGGCTGGAGTTTAGAGACTTTCTGACCGCGGGTTCAATCCCGGCCGGGGTATGGTTTACAGAGGAAGAATTCTGTTCCACTTCCCCATGGAGGTAAGAGGAAATAAACAAGAACAAGAACTAGTAAGAAAACAGAAGAAAACCCAGAGGGGTGTGTATATATATGCTTGTACATGTATGTGTAGTGTGACCGAAGTGTAAGTAGAAGTAGCAAGACGTACCTGAAACCTTGCATGTTTATGAGACAGAAAATTTATAAATATAAATGATTTTTGCCTTTTTCACCAGGACCCAGCAACGTTTTAGAAATGTCAGAGTATATACGAAACTCCTTGAAGCACATGTAAGATGAGTGTCACTCCACTGCTGACAGTGCAGCAGTGGAGTGACATGTCTGTCTATCTGTTTGTTTCTGCCTATTTGTCTAACTGTTTGTCTAGTTCTGTCTATGTTTATCTCTGTCTCTGCTTATCTGTCTGCCTGTGTTTTTGTCTTCCTGTCTCTTTACTTGTCTCTCTGTCTCAGAGAGAACCAACAGGTATTACACACGATGCAGAGTTGTCATGTCTGATTTCTGAACAAGTGAAAATGTGTATTACTTGCCAGTCATGCTTATTATGCCTTATATCTACAAGCATAGTATAGCACTTTGTCTGGGTTTTTGTGGTTATCCTAGGTAATATACACTATGTATAACTATATTTGTGTGTACCTGTGAGATAGAGACAGATAGACGGAGACAGAGATAAATACAGACAGACAGAAGGAGATAGAGACAGCTAAAGCAAATCAGCCAGCCGTTGGCTGGCTGGCTGGCTGGTATTTTCTCGTTATCCCCTGCAAGTGGTGGCGTATCTGAAGCTCGCTCGTAACTCGGATTTTAGCTCGCAACTCAAAGCGAAAAATGGACCAAGCGACAGCTCGTAACTCGTAACTTGGGGCACTCATAAATCAAGGTACCACTGTATATCATACAATTAGGGTGACTGACATGTATAAATTACTTTACAGAAAGCCGTATTATGTGAGGCATTTCGGGCACTCTCGTACTCTGAAAGGACAATTACAATATTAGGTTGATTGAAGAAAAATTTCTTCAGATCATTAACCCCAAGAGGGTTAATGATCCTGTGTTAACTACCTCTGAGGGTTAATAATCTAGAATAACATAAGAGAACAAAGCAGTGATTTAATACCACTGTTTTTGTTTTATCCCTCTTCTCTATAATATGACCCACAACAGTCTACTAACTCCTAGATACTGTATTGGTATCTTTTTACTGCCAGGTGAAGAAGGGCAGCAGGTGTAAGGAAACGTGTTCATACTCCCTGCCTTGCACAGGATATGAACCCTGTTTCTTTTGGTTGTGAGCCAAACACTGCCACTCACCTACAAGAACTAAAATTGGGAACTCTAGGCTTTGAAAAGCATCCTCTCAAGCACATTATATTTGACCGAGGGAGTGTGCGAGTGCAAGTGAGACTGCTTTCACCTAATTGTACTCGCCTAATTGTGGTTGCAAGAATTAAGACTCAGCTCCTGGCCCCGCCTCTTCACTGGTCGCTACTAGGTCGTCTTAAAACTATGTATGGTTCCTGCCTCCGCTATATCACATGCCAGACTATTCCACTTCCTGACAACTCTATGACTGAAGAAATACTTCCTAACATCCCTTGACTCATCCGAGTCTTTAACTTCCAATTGTGACCCCTTGTTTCTGTGTCCCCTCTCTGGAACATCCTATCTCTGTCCACCTTGTCTATTCCTCAGTATTTTGTGTGTCGTTATCATGACTCCCCTAACCCTCCTGCCCTCCAGTGTCATCAGGCCAATTTCCCTTAACCTTTCTTTGTAGGACATTCCCCTTAGCTCTGGAACTAGCCTTGTTGCAAACTTTTGCACTTTCTCTAATTTCTTGACATGCTTGACCAGGTGTGGGTTCCAAACTGGTGCTGCATACTCCAGTATGGGCCTGACGTACATGGTGAACAGAGTCTTGAACGATTCCTTACTGAGGTATTGGAACATTATTCACAGGTTTGCCAGATGCAACTCCTTCATTAAGTGTGGAGAGGCTGTATTATCAAAACCTTACCTTTTTAAACTATACCATATAAAAAAAAATCACAAAGTACACTATTATCAAAATCACTAATACCAAATGCAAACAAAACCTGTCTAGCCACTAAATGGCTTTCAACTACAGTGGACCCCCAGATATCGGCCATATCGGATTTCGGCTGCTTTTTTTGGCCAAAGTTCTATCCTGGATTTCGGCCAACAACTCGGAACCGATTGTATTGGATGCGTCCACCTGCCACACCACGTGCACGAGTCAGTCTGGCTGTGTCTCTCGGTGAGTGAGCAACACACTGTGCATTCATCCAAACATTTTGTTATAATCCATTGTTTTTTGTGGTTGTTTATTGAGTGTGACTGCAAAATAAGCCACCATGAGCCCAAAGAAAGTTCCTAGTGCCTGCCCTTTAGTAAAGAAACCGAGAAACACGATAATATTCACGAAAGAAATTGCAGCAAAGTACAAAAGTTTTGTACGTGTGCTCGAGCTTGCCAGGGAGGTGCAAAGTTTTGTGGTGAAATATCACCCTGACCAAGCTGAAACAAGCCATATCTGCAACATGTTCAGTGACAAAACCTTGTCCCACTTCAGGCAAATCTTAAAGAGATGCCAGAAACAGACCTCTCTGGACAGTTTTTTTGTGCAAAAGGTGCAGTGACTCTCTAGCTGGCCCTAGTGCCAGTAAAAGACAAAGAAGGGAAGAAACCATGGATAGGGGCTTGATACCTAAGTCCTTATGGAGGGATTTTTCCCTTCCAAACAATAATCAGTCCTCCCTCTCTCCACCTCCCTGTCTTCCATATGCCAACAAGAATCTTCAGTAAAGGCTATTGTGATATTAAATGTTCATTTATCTATTTCATTAGTCATTTTATTTAGTTCTCATTGTTTTGTGTGTGTAAAACTATAGTTAATCCTTAAAAAATGTATTTTTTGTTAACAGTTTTGGGTGTCTGGAACAGATTAATTGTATTTACATTAACCCTTTGACTGTCGCAACCCCCAATCCTGAGGTGTCTTCTGGTGTCGCAAAATTTAAAAAAAAAAAAAAAATTATTTTTTCTTATGAAATGATAGAGAATCTTTTCCCGATTGTAATGATACCAAAAACACGAAATTTGATGGAAAACTGACGGAATTATGCTCTCGCGAAGTTAGCGACCTCTGCGCTGTTTACAAATCGGCGATTTCGCCCACTTTGAGCCCTATTTTCAGCTAATTCCATTGTTCCAGTCGCCCAAACTCATAGCTATTTCTATAGAACTCCATTTTTTCTATCGATTGAGTACAAGAAACTGCCCATTTACCGATTTCTACTACCTAATAATGTGGTCAGAAATTTGCAATTTGGCCAATTTCACGAAAACTAAAAAATATGACAATTTCAAAATAAGGTCCAGAATGAACAATGCAGACATTTCTGGCTCTAAAATAACATTTTCTTTGCTCATCAGTCATGTCTCCAGGCCCCTCTGATATTACTCTTGCTTTCTATTTTGAATTTTTATTCAAACAAAAAATAGAAGACTTACTATTATGCAGACTACTGCAATACTGTAATAATTGTATAAATAACATCAACCCATTCATGACTGCATATTAGAATGGCTAGTTGGACATTTATTGGACAATGGCATCATTTGTTTACTTTTAAAACATTGGCAAAAAATCAAACATTTCCCCTACTTGAGCTCCATTTCAAGGTTCTTTTTATAGTAAAATCAATCAAAATCACCTCTATTTCTATAATATGTTTTCCATTCTATCAAATGAGACCAAGAAAACGAGAATACACCCATAAATACTATACAAAAATAGACCACAAAGTCGGCATTTTAATTAAAAAAAACGGTCAAGAGTTTTTTTTTCTCATTATGCACTGCGTGCTCCAGGATTTTTTTTATATGGTGCACACTGACCACACAGACCCATTCTTTCACATGTGGGCCTACCAGCTTTCTCCTGCTTGATTTGAAGCCGCTAGAATTTATGAGTATATATACGTCAAACACGGTACCTCGTAAGACGTATATATACGGCCGCGACAGTCAAAGGGATAATTCTTACTGGAAATATTACTTCGGTTTTCGGCCTTTTCAGATTTAGGCTGACCTTCAGGAATGGATTATGGCCAAAATCTGGGGTTCCACCGTATTTAAAATTAATCCACATTTAAGAAAGAAAACTTTAGAAGACATTTCAATCCATCTAGACCATTATCAAGTTATAACTGGTCCAGAATGGAATGAAATGGTCTTAAGCTTCTCCTCTCTAGTGTGGATTATTAGTGAATTGTTACAGCTATGGAACTGTGCCTTATATTCAACCATTATTTAAAAATTAGGATAATTAGGGAGATTTCACTTGCTTTATAGATTGATCTAGCACTTCTACAGTGCCTACAAAATGTTATAATTCTTGCACGTGAACTGCACGGATACAAAATATATGGAGTATAGCAACTTATACAGTACTCTGAGTTAACATGTAAATGTGCATATTCTAGTACTGGAACCACCAACATTAATTATACATCAAAACTATTTATTTAGTTTAGAAAGAACACTAGCAAAAATGTGTCATAATACAGTGGCTGGAACAAATCACCAGCCCACATATTGGCCATCAAAAATAAATGACTTTTTTGTCCATCCCAGACTATTATCATATCTTAACTTGAAAATGGCTCAGGATGGACTGAAAGTTTCCCGTTTGAATGGGTGAACTGAAAAAATTTTTTAGTATTAAACAGTGGGCATACTGTCAAAAAATTATCAGTGTTCATATGTAAAATAAACACCCAATAAACCCTTACCTTTAGTAATTCTCTGAAGAAGTTTGAGCACGCCGATAGCATTAGCTTGTGTGCCTTTAATCTCCGTCCATCACATGCCAGTGTGACATCAACAAATTGCCCCTCCTCTAGCAAGCTACGTAACACTCCAACTACACTACTCTGGTAGTTGTTCCACCGTAAACAAAAACACTGTTCACTCATGTTGGTATGATAGCACCTGCAAACAAAATCATTATACTGACAGTTTCAGTAACTTTGCTAGGACATGATTATAATCAAAACAAAGTGCTAAACCTACTAGGGTCATACAGCTGCTAGGACATGAAAACCTGAAAAGGACATAATCAATACTTATGATGAGGTACTACACTAACAATTCAAAAAATTCAATGAATACATTATAAGGGATTATGCAGTCTGTAAACAAAGTAAAAGATACTATACACAGTCTAGCAATATCCAATCAAGCAAAATTTAAAGTAATAAAGGATATTTAAGTTCCTTTAAAAAATTTAATTACGCATGTAAATGTTCTCTATGTACATCTATACCTGGAAATATAAACACTTAAGCAGTACAATGTGATCCTTTATTGACAACGTTTCGCCCATACAGTGGGCTTTATCAAGTCACAAACAGATCTACCTGGGTAAAAGGTACGTGAGTATTTATAGGATTTAGTCAGGTGGAGAATGCTGCATGTGACAATCTTCGGAGTAGGGTGATAGTCTAGAGCCTTGGGTAGCTTTAAAAAGAGATTGGATAAGTATATGAGTAGACCTTCTGCAGTGTTCCTCCATTCTTATGTTCTCATGTGGGATAGCATTGAAGAAGTTTCTTGGCAAGGGGTTCAGCTATGTTATAAAAGCCGTTGTTCTGGTTGAAGTTGTTGGATGATTCCAGGATTCTTCAGTATTGAGTGTTGTCTTCTTTGGTGATGAGTCTTGCATGTCTGTAGTTGATTAAATGGTTGTGAGAATTTTGGTGTTGAACAAAGGCATTCCTTGGATCGTCAGATCTGCCTGTGTACTGGTGTTCTGAAATACGTGTTTGAAGGTCTCTGGATGTTTCGCCAATATATAATTTGCTGCAGTCATTAAAATTATGGTCTCTGGATGTTGGTGAAACATCCAGAGACCTCCAAACACGTATTTCAGAACACCAATACACAGGCAGATCTAATGATCCAAGGAATGCCTGTGTTCAACACCGAAATTCACACAACCATTTAATCAACTACAGACACGCAAGACTCATCGCCAGAGAAGACAACACTCAATACTGAAGAATCCTGGAATCATCACTTATTTGTATATCCAACAACTTCAACCAGAACAACGGCTTCCATAACATAGCTGAACCCCTTGACAAGAAACTTCTTCATCGCTATCCCACATGAGAACATAAGAATGGAGGAACACTGCAGAAGGTCTACTCATATACTTATCCAATCTCTTTTTAAAGCTACCCAAGGCTGTAGACTATCACCCTACTCTGAAGATTGTCACATGCAGCATTCTCCACCTGACTAAATCCTATAAATACTCATGTACCTTTTACCCAGGTAGCTCTGTTTGTTTGCATGGGCAAAACGTTGTCAATAAAGGATCACATTGTACTGCTTGTGTGTTTATATTTCCATTGTGTCGGTATTAAATACCATTTATTTACATCTATACCTGAAAAGCAATACATAATACAGTAAATGCTCAATTTAATGGAATAATAGGAGGGAGCAGGTAGTCGGTAATTGTGATCATGGTGAATAAAGAGAACATTTTGCCGTAATCATAACAGCAATGGACAATTCTCCAGCTGATGGACTTTGACCATTGTTTCCAAATCATTTGGCCCCGTCCCATATTTACAAAAGCTATTAAATAGAAGGGTTACTGTATTTGATTAAGACTTGCTACCACTATTAAAGTAATTAATGGATGTAAAACTCTACAGATGCAAAAAATGATAAGAGAAACTCCAAACTACCTGCATACTGAAGGCAGATACTGCACTGTACCCAAGAGATGAAAGGAGATATAGATGTTAACTCTAAAGGGCCTGGAACTGACTTGGCTGTGGACAAGCCACATAGCAGTCGGAACAGGAAAGGCTTGAAAATATCAGAAATAATAAGAAAAAGTGTATCAAATGCACTAATAGCTAAATAATTGCACTGAAAAATATCACCTTGGTGGGTATGGTAGTGGACTCATGAAGAATGACAATAGTAATGTCAAAAAAAATGCCTGAAAACAGATTAAGCCTCAGTAGCCCCTTCTCTTTCCTGAGTGTACAGATACATAGGTAAACATTTATAGACAATATTTCTTCAAATTCCATTAGAATTGGCTCTTCCAATATTCTGCATTTTATTACATTTGAAAAAATCTACATCACACATTTATTCTTCTATCCCCCTTCCCTACTATAAGGTATTCTCACAATGTATACAGTACTGTTCTGAAACATTTTTCCATATACAGTACATTAATATACTATAGGACTGTCTCCCCTTTTCTATATATCTCTAACCTACCATTCTCAGGGATACAATACTACTGCATAGTATATGATTTATGAGGTGCAGACCATTCACACCCTTATGCTCTTCACTAAGTGCCCTAAACTATTAAACCCATTAATGTACTCAGATCAACTTGTTAATACTATACACTTTACCTGGAAAGGTTAATAAATTGACTTCCCTATACAGATGCTACTAATTAACCTGTTTTAACTTAGCCTTTTTTTTTATTATTCTTCACCTGGTCTACACTATTGGTAGTGGAGAGCACATTACAGCTAATCTCTTCTTTTCTTTCTTCATACGCAATTTTTTTAATAAAAAAACTGATACACTCATTGTGTCTACAGAGAGCTACATTTTACAAGGTTAGAGCTTATCACTTTTCCTGGTACAGCATATAACAGAGTGTACTAAGCCTGCTCTTCAATCATCTGGATCTTTCCAATTCTCCATGAATATACTCGTACATATTTTGCACATCCAATCTATAATTAATGTCAGTAGTACAGTGGTACCCCAAGTTTCGTACAGCTCCCAACACGAACAATTATGTAAGTGTATTATTGTTAGTGCTTTTGTAAGTGTATTTTTGGGGGTCTGAAACGGACTAATCTAATTTACAATATTCCTTATGGGAACAAATTTGTTTGGTAACGGCACTCGAACAGCCTTCTGGAACAAATTATGGCTGAAACTCGGGGTACCACTGTACATTTCAACAACATAACATAAATTTCACCAACTCTATTACTTTTTCTATACTATTCATAAATTATAACTGCTTTTACTTCTTATTTAGACATTATTTTCTATACCTTACTGGAATGTGCCCTTCTCATCTTTTCATTACCATACATTATTCAAATTCAAAGTTTATTCTCTATAAGGATTACAATGCTGAGCTTACAGAATTTGGTTATTGTGTGGTTTACATGTGGTAAAGTACTAATTACAGAGGATGCCACTAGAACACCTAGCATGGCTAGGAATTTTGGGCAGACTTAGATTAATTCTTAAATTTAAAATATTACAAATTATGAGGTAAGTTGGTATTATGGATAAGTGACTAAATACTAGTTTGTGAGTTTAGCAATGTGAATGCTTTTGTTTTGGCACAATACATAGTTTCAGTATTGGAGTATCACAGGCCAACTTATGACTAGTTAGGATTCATTATTTTAAGATTGAGACTGATATTTCTGTTTATGGTCAAATGGGCGAGTGAGTGTAAGTGTGAACCACCAGGTGGTATTCGTGTAATTAGTTGAAGGGGTGTATCAGGGAGATAAGATGTTTTCTAATGGTAGTTTTGAAGGTGATGAATGTGTCTGCAGTTCTAGAGTTTTCAGGTAGGGTGTTCCAGCAAAGAGAGAAATGTGAGTATAGTTATACCAACACTCCTACATGGGTGTGAAGCATGGGTGATGAGTGTTGCAATGAGGAGAAGGTTGGAAGCAGTGGAGATGTCATGTCTGAGGGCAATGTGTGGTGTGAATATAATGCAGAGAATTCGTAGCTTGGAAATTAGGATAAGGTACGGGATTACCAAAACTATTATCCAGAGGGCTGAGGAGGGGTTGTTGAGGTGGTTCAGACATGTAGAGAGAATGGAACAAAACAGAATGACTTTGAGAGTGTATAAATCTGTAGTGGAGGGAAGGCAGGGTAGGGGTCGGCCTAGGAAAGGTTGGAGGGAGGGGGTAAAGGAGGTTTTGTGTGCGAGGGGCTTGGACTTCCAGCAAGCATGCATGAGCATATTTGATAGGAGTGAATGGAAGCAAATGGTTTTTAACCTGTAAACGGTCCAAGCAGATCTACGTTCACATGTGTAGTGCTACAAAAGTAGATCTAAGTTTTTTTTTACATATTTTCAAATATAACAACAACAAAAAAAGTAGATCAAAGTTTTTTTTACACATTTTCAATGTAGAAAAACAAAAAGAAGATCTACTTTTTTTACATACTTTCAAATGTTGAAAAAACGTATATATGTTTGGACCGTTTACGGGTTAATACTTGACATGCTGTTGGAGTGTAAACAAAGTAACATTTATGAAAGGATTCAGGGACACCGGCAGGCTGGACTTGAGTCCTGGAGATGGGAAGTACAGTGTCTGCACTCTGAAGGAGGGGTGTTAATGTTGCAGTTTCATAACTGTAGTGTAAAGCACCCCTCTGGGAAGACAGTGATGGAGTGAATGATGATGGAAGTTTTTCTTTTTCGGGCTACCCTGCCTTGGTGAGAATCGGCCGATGTGTTAATAAATAAATAACATTATTATTGTCACTTATTACACCATTTCACTAAAAACTTATTACAGTAGCTTTCAGCAAACATTATTATTGTTGTATAGTCATACAAGGCATTAAACCCATGTTAATTAATCACTGTATGGGAAAGGTGGTTAACTCTGGGGATAGAGGAAAAGACAAGTGATGAGGGCAAATATGAGGGTGCAGTAAATCAGTTTGGTTAAAAATGTTGGAAAAAAAATGTCTATGGTGAGACTCTAAGAAAGAAGGCCGAGAAACACATTAGGGTGTCGAAAGAAGTTACTAGTAAAGTCGGCATGATCCCTGATATGCTACAAGAGGATGCCATAAGAAACCACATCTCACATAGGGGTGCTCAACAACCCTCCAGGCTCAGCCAAGTGTGAATCTGGCATGATCAATGCTTAGTCATGCAAAAACAGTTTACCAAGTTTACCACAACTAACAGTGGTAAAGAGAAGACGGTCAGATGCTCAATCACAGTTTATTTAGGAACCATTTGCTACATTAACTCAAGACAATTGATACTGTCAATTATCTTGCACATGCAGAGATCATACTGTAAAAATAGTCTGAAAAACAATTGTTTGTGGAGCATCAGATGGTCTGAAACTGCAGGACATATTGAGGAGTCTGCAAGTTAATTCCCCTAAACCCAGAATGACTAGGAACCCAGCAAGAGATGACATTCCAATGTCTCCTAATGATATGCAGTAGCCAATGATATAAGAGAGATGAAGGAATGTGAAGAATTGCAAGTCTCTGAATCACTTTCAATGCACTTTTGAGAGAATAAGACTACAACAAATGAGATGTCCAGTAGCTCGATCGCTAGCGCACTCAGCTCACACACTGAGGTCCGGAGTTCGAATCCCCGGTATGGCTGGATAACATTAGGACATGTTTCCATAAGACACCTGCTGCTCATGTTCACCCATTAGTATAAAATGGGTACCTGGGTGTTAGTCAACTGGTGGGTCGCATTCTGGGACAAAATTGACCTAATTTGCCAGAAATGCTCTGCATAACGAGCGGCTTTCTATATACTAGTAGTATGTCACTGATGTCAGCTATGCCTGTATACTCTGTACATGTACTTGTAGAAATAAAGATTATTAGTAAGTAAGTAAGTAAGTAAGTAAGTAAGTTTATTCAGGTATACACAAATACAGTTACATAAAATTATCATACATAGCAGCATATGTGTAGAGAACCTAGGATAACCCAAAAAAGTCAGACTGAGTGACTTATTTCCATTGGGGTCATTTTACCTTATTATTATAATATAAAGGTTATAATATTTTCTTATTATTCTATAATGAAGATAACATCTTATTATCATACTAAAAAGATTATCTACTACACGAGGGTCATTAAGACTATCTACAATACGAGGGTCATTACTAGGAATAAGGTAAAATTTACACGTATGTTAGCTAAAAAATAGAAAATCATTCCCCTCCCTTTCTGTAGCTACATTCATCAGACACCTTTTGGCACTCTTCTTGAACTGGTTCATGCTATGACTGGCTTTGACATGTGCGGGTAGTCTGTTCCATTCCTTTATTGCTGTACAATAAAAGGTGTTTGAAGCCTGTCCAATGACTGTGGGTACTACAAAGTTGTGCTCTCTCCCCCTAGTACTATGATTGCTTTGGTTCCCAACCTTGACAAAATTATTAAGGTAGACAAGGTAGCAATGTTAATGATGGCAGCAAGAAGTATGTACAATTCTGTTGTGAAATAAGCAGCTGTTGCCTTTGGAGCAAACAACCAAGGAATGTCCCCACCACAACTAATCTGGAGCCATTTTTGGTACAAAATAATAGCATCCAAAAGGGATAGAAAATGATGGAATAGTGGGCTAAAACCTACTCCAAGGATGCGAGGCTCTAAGAATGGAAGGAAGGAAGGACAGACATGGACTATAGCCTTTCTAAGATGGAAGGATGAACTACGAAACAAGAAGAACAGAAAAGCAAGGTTCCTCAAGTGTTTGTAAGTGCATACTGAAAGAATGAAATCAAGAACACAGACTGTTACCTTTGCAAACCTGTGAGAATGCTTTAAAGATAGTAGAGATAAGAATCATGAATAGAACCATGATTAAAATAAAAACTAATAAATATAAATAAGATAAAGACATGGGTATCTTGGTGATCCTATAATGAAGGAATACTAGATTCCCATACAAGCTTTTGGCCTGGAATGATTGAAAGGCCCCCCAGGCATACAGTAATGCAGTGGTCCTCAACCTTCCTACACTAGTGGGCCACATTTAATGGTCAAATGTTTGATGAGGGCTGCACAGTTTTGTTGACACTGTGCAGTGTGAAACCTATATGAAATTGAATTCACAATTTCATGTGAGGGCCGCATCCATTTCATAGAAGGGCCATAAGTTGGGGACACTTGCAGTTGTGTATTATACTGGTAAAGGTAATCTTTGATGCTGAACAGCATCTGGTCCACAAAGAGTAACTGAGGAAGTAAAGGAATATATTGGTCTCTGTAGTCCAGTTAAGACATGAAAATATCTCTATGTGGATATCATATAACTACAACTATGCAAAATTTAGAGCAATGGAAGACGAGAAAATTGAAGAATTCAATAAAATAATGAGGAGGAGTTTGAAAGCTACAAAGATTGAAGCTCCAGAGTTAAAGTCTAGCAAAATTAATTGCAGGAAAGACTTAACAGGCCACCATGAGTCACAATGAAACCAGGTACTATGATATTGATGGTATACAATACTAAGTACATGAGTAAGATGTATGATGTTATTTGATGTTTCACCTGATCAGAAGGCTTCTTCAATCAAAATACACAGGAGACAACAAAGGTACTGGAGATATACAAGAGGTGATTAGTCCCTCAGCCTTGAAGAAGTAAGATTGAGGTGACGAGACTGACCACCTCAAACCTACATCTTTGAGGCTGAAGGACTGATCACCCCATATCTATATCTCCACTACTTCTGTTGTAGGTATAATGTAATATTAAACTTATGGTGCGCTCACAAATGGTAAATTAAAGAAAAAATGTACTGAAACTAAGAAATATAGTGAAATCTCATGGCTGTGTTCTTAAGACCTCAAGTGAAATTTATATCTTAATAAACTTTTCCAAATCTATATTGTTCTAACACATTAACCTAAATATATCTAAAGAAAATAATACAATGCTGAAGCAAATGAATAAAGATGCTAGAAAACTATACTGTAACGTTATACTGTACTGTACTCTACTCTACGGTACTTTAGTGTTCCTGCTACAACAAGGGAATGAAGTCCTTCTTCATTGGACTATTTGTAGGTACAAATAAATATGTAAGTGAATGATGCCTTCCATTCTCACTATAATGCTCAATCCAAGTCCATATTCTTGAAACAATTTCTTCCATTTAAGGCCAAATTATTATTATTATTATTATTAATTATTATTATTATTACTATTATTATTAATTATTATTATTATTATTATTCATGGGGGAAGCACTAAATCCACATGGGTCATATACAAGGCCACAAGCATACTGGAACAAAATATGATACAACTTATTTAGGCTCAATAAGCAGACATTTTTACTGACTGACATCAATTAGCTACACAATTTCATGTACTGTGTATAATTTTGGTAATAGTAAAAAACTACAATAGTTGAATTAAGCACATAATCACTGTACTGTATTAAAAATTTAGTAGTAATAAAATAAAAAAAATAACCAAGAATAACCCAGCAATGCCAAATATGATGTATGATGCATTACCATTATATGACATAGTACTTAGTTATCCTAGGTTAAATCTTCCTCACTTACCATTACTGTATGCCTATACTGTATTCAATATATAAACCTAAAAGATTGTAATGCAATAAGTCTGAAATTAAACATGTATTGATGTAAAAAAAAATCTACAAATTAACCTAAATAAAAGTATCTATCTACAAGTAAATGAAGACTCTCAAAAATACAGTTAATCTAAGACTCATTGAAGTAAGGTACAGACTTATAAGAGTATGCCTAGTTGCAAGCCTCTTTTCTGCATTAGGCTACAATTTGATTAGATCATTGAGAAAATTAATTATACTTTTAAGTATTACAATGAAAATGAGACTTCCAGGATCTTTTGATAGTTGATTATCAATAATTTAGGCAGCATCAATTATGTGAATTTCCTTTACTGGTAATAACTTTCTTAATTCAGTTTTAATCCTAGTATTTAAGGCAGAGTATACAAAAAAATTAAGAGATATATACTGTACTAAATCTTTACTTATATTTAAACAATTTTAAATTGCACAGTCATCTTACATATACAGAACCAACACTGTATAATGACTTAACCTCAGATATCCATACAATTACTCAAAATGTATTGAAACTCCCTTTCTCTGTATATGAGGAAAGCATTTATATAAGTAAAAGTGAATAAAAATGGAGGATACTATCTTTTTTCACTCCACTAGCATATTATCTAAGAAATCTAGGCAAGAAAAAATTAACTGGATAATAGAATTATGGCAGGAGTACCATAACAAAACTAAATCATATTTGGCTGTATTGTGAGCTCTCCTTAGTTCAATTTTCTGATTTTATCACAATTTTGTGATCGTGACACTGCTTACTGGAAATTACTGTTGAAATTAAAACCACATCTTAGGAGTTATTAGTGTTGTGGGCCACATAATAGGGTAAAAAAAATCTAAAAAAAAATTGGAAATAAGCTATAGATAATTAATTTAATTTGGATTATCCTGGATTGTTAAGCCTCATGAGAAATTAACAAATAATAATATATTACAAAGACTTATGGAAGTAAGTCACTTCCTCTGACTTTTTTTTGGGTTATCCTGGGTAATTTACACATATATTAATATGTATGATAATGGTAGTTACCTAAATTTGTGTAAATGTACTTATGTTTAACCATATCTAAATAAATTTACCTGTCATGGGGAAGTGATCTACCTATAGGGGTTATGCTGCACCTGGGAGAATGGAAGACAATTCGGTTTGATCCAAGAAGAGGGTGGCTCCAATTCCTTGGATCAAGAGTCCTTCAACATCACGACACCCCCTTGATGGGTAATTACCGTGAAGACAAGCGCAAGAGAACCCCAATGAAAATAAGTCACTTTGTTTGGCCCTTTTTTTTTTGGGTTATCCTAGGTAATTTACACTACGTATAATAACTGTACTTATGTGTACGTGTGCCTAAATAAATTTACTTACGAGGTTATGTGGTACCAGTGAACACAGGCCATTACTTCCTTCACTTACCAGACGACTCGCACACAAAATAATCTCACTGGGATATTTAACAGTATTAACCACCAACCAACATCACAGTGCACTTAAAAATAAAGAAAAACGCCCCGAGAGAGAGGTAAAATAAGGGAGAATTACCTGTGTGTGGAGTAAGGTGGGGTGTGGGTGAACCTGTTGCTGCTCACTAACCAAAACACTCGGTTCTGCTTCACTCAGTTTCTTCACTACTTTCTTCTCACTCCTCTCTCTCTCCTACACCCGGCACACACACACAACTCACTACACTCACACTGCATCTACACGCCCTACATTGCCACTGCATACACATCCAACCTTACTAGGTTGCGAAATAAACATGGAAATAATGTGCAAAAACTGGGCTCACTCACCTTGTCTGGTTAGTGAAGCTCGACGCAGTTGCTTACTAACATTTATTCTCGCTCATTCATCGCATATTTCCCTTCGTATATGAATAAACTAGCACGTTATACTCTGGTAACGTATTTCAGCGTCTAAGCAAAGTGCTCGTGATGGAGAATAGAAGACATAAATATATTTTTATGAGCTGGGGAATTTTATCAAGAACTTAGTGCGAGGAACAGGTTATGATGGCGGCTGTGGTTGCCAACACTTAAATGCAAAAGTTACTCAGTTATATGCCAGAACTCACTGAAATTTACCAGGAAAGTATATCAATTATACACACAACATTCATCTATAGGGTCATGTCACTATAATTTATTTCAGCCGAGAATTTAGAGAAAAAATGGGTGGAAGGGAGCGAGGGTTCAGCAGGTATAGTTAATTTTGTATGCATCAACTGGCCATGGGTAAACAAACCTGTTCTTTGGGGTGAGGGAGGGAGTGATGGTTGGTGTGGGGGTGATGGAGTCTTTATGTAGCTCAGGGCCACGGCCACCGGGGCTGGTGTAGTGGGGTCATCCCTCCTACAGCAGCCCCGGTGGTGGTGGGTTATCCCACCTACAGCAGCCCCGGTGGTGGTGGGTTATCCCACCTACAGCAGCCCCGGTGGTGGTGGGTTATCCCACCTGCAGTAGCCCCGGTGGTGGTGGGTCATTCCACCTACAGCAGCCTCGGTGATGGTGGATCATCCCACTTAAAGCAGCCACGGTGGTAATGGGTCATCCAACTTACAGCAGCCCCGGTGGTGGTGGGTCATCCCACTTACAGCAGCCCCGGTGGTGGTGGGTCATCCCACTTACAGCAGCCCCGGTGGTGGGTAATCCCTCCTACAGTAATACCGGTGGTGGTGGGTCATCCCTCCTACAGCAGTCCCGGTGGTGGTGGGTCATCCTACTTACAGCAGCCCCGATGGTGTGACATCCCACTCACAGCAGCCCCTATGGTGATGGGCCATTCCACTCACAGCAGCCCTTGTGGTGGTAGGTCATCCCACCTACCACAGCCCCAGTGGTGGTGGGTTATCCCACTTACAGCAGCCCCGGTGGTGGTAGGTCATCCCGCTTACAGCAACCCCAGTGGTTTTGGGTCATCCCACCTACAGCATCCCCAGTGGTGGGTCATTCCACTTACAGCAGCCCCAGTGGTGGTGGGTCATCCCACCTACCACAGCCCCAGTGGTGGTAGGTTATCCCACCTACCACAGCCCCAGTGGTGGTGGGTTATCCCACTTACAGCAGCCCCGGTGGTGGTAGGTCATCCTGCTTACAGCAACCCCAGTGGTTTTGGGTCATCCCACCTACAGCATCCCCAGTGGTGGTGGCCTGGTGAGGATCATCTCCCCACCACAAAAGGCATGATCCACGTAAGAGAATAAAAGCATTTGGCTCACAGTTGAAAAGAACAGGGTCGATTCCTGATCTAGGCGAGACGTAGATTACGTCTGACACCCACTAACCCGCCCTTCTTTAACTACACAGCTCTAGGCTTCACAAAGATGTGTATGTGAATATAATAATAACTAACAGCAGACGGGTACCTGTACAGGGATTGTCAGTACAGTATTGTGGGTGACATTCTTGGGAGTGGATTAGTAGTCCTTAGACAGGATCGGGTTTTGGAAAACCTAAGTTGTAATAATCAGAATAATAGTTTTTAGCCTGTAAATGGAGATGCAAGTTAGGTGCTTTAGTAAGTAAGTTTATTCAGGTATACACAAATACAGTTACATAGATTATCATACATTGTAGCATGTGTGTAGAGAACCTAGGATAACCCAAAAAAGTCAGACTGAGTGACTTATTTCCATTGGGGTCCTTTTACCTTATTATTATAATATAAAGGTTATAATATTTTCTTATTATTCTATAATGAAGATAACATCTTATTATTATACTAAAAAGACTATCTACTACACGAGGGTCATTAAGACTATCTACAATACGAGGGTCATTACCAGGAATAAGGTAAAATTATACGTGTGTTAGCTAAAAAATAGAAAATCATTCCCCTCCCTTTCTGTAGCTACATTCATCAGACACCTTTTGGCACTCTTCTTGAACTGGTTCATGCTATGACTGGCTCTGACATGTGCGGGTAGTCTGTTCCATTCTTTTATTGCTGTACAATAAAAGGTGTTTGAAGCCTGGCCAATGACTGTGGGTACTACAAAGTTGTGCTCTCTCCCCCTAGTACTATGATTGCTTTGGTTCCCAACCTTGACAAAATTGACAGCAAGATATTCTGGACACTGTTTGTGAGCAATTTTATAAACATAATTTAGCTTCAGTTGTTTTACTCTGTCTTCAACATTCAGCATGTCCAACTGCTGTAATTCATCCTGGCCTACATGTTCTCTTGGTCCCAGCCCCAGGATGAATCTTACGATTTTGTTCTGGGTGATTTGCAGTCTATCTTTCAATTTTTTTTGTCAAGGCAGAGTACCATGAAGAGCAAGCGTAATCCACATGGCATTGTATAAGGGCTAGACATAGGGTCCTGCGAGCCTCAGTAGGTAGACACTGTGCTTGTCTATAGAGGAATTTCAGTCTGGCATTCGCTTTCTTTACTACACTGTTCCCTATCAATTCTCCTGACATGCATGGGTCAAAGGGGATTCCCATATATTTTACTGATGAAACCAAAGTGATGGGCTCCCCATTACACTGGACATTAAAATTATTTACCCTTCTCAGTTTATGTTTCGTGGCAAAGAGAATGGTGTAATGATAGTTTGTTGTCTACTAACCATTTGCTGCAGGACTCCAGTTCCAGTGTTAATACATTAGCTATATCTTGTGGGTCTTTACCTGACACTAACAGAGCACTGTCATCTGCACACAGTAGGAGTTTGCACTTGACACTGATAGGCATGTCATTGACATAACATAAGAATAATAAGGGACCCAGAATACTACCTTGGGGAACTCCACATGCTATCGGCAGGGGTCCTGATTCCGTGTTGTTGATTTTTACAATTTGTCTCCTGTTGCTAAGGTAGGACTTAAACCAGTCTACAGAACCTCTACCTATAGCTTATACCGATAGTATCTAACTAAGGAATAAAGCGAAACACTGAATTAGCGTTTTTTTCATCTACATCTATAGGCAAACCAGTGTTTCGTATATAATTTATAAATCTGAATTTAACAGTCTTGGATTCATTGTTTATTTTTCTCTCTTATGGTTCATGGTTAGATATCTTGAGGCTTATACATATCCTGTGCTCGTAAACCTCATTCAAATCATCCTCATTTATTACCTTTCAGGAAAGTGTAGTTTCAGGGATTTTATTCTGTCTTCATAGGAAAAATTCTGATACATAGGCTTTTTATCCTACTCCTTTATCTGTATGGAAAGAAGATGAAGACTTCTGTTTCAGCCCAACGCTTCCACCAGCTCAGTAGTTTACGGGGAACAAGGTTTCTGAGGTTTCTTGCAGTAACGAAAAAAAACCACACCACGGGCGGGGTTAGAACCCGCGATCAGTCTCAAAACTTCAGACCGTCGCGGGTTCTAACCCCGCCCGTAGTATGGTTTGTTTGCAATCGTGTCATTACGATTTCGGGAGTTGTAGCAACGAGTATATTGCAACACCTTAAGTATTTCCAACCTTAGCAGAGGTTCTGGCTAAAAATGAGTTCGCGATTAGCAGACGAGAGATCGAGCCTTCACTACTCCTCGCGTTACATGATGCACACGGATTTACTGCTTCATGAAATATTACACAACAGTCCCCATGTTTCCCACGCGAAGGAGACGATATTAGCAGGGCAAAAATCGGAGAATTATTCAATAAATTAAGGCATGGTATTCAAAAGAATAAATGGGTGGAATGCCTAATAAGAATGAATGTTGGGAAACGGATGGCTGACCAACATGGCTATGGAATCGAATTTCCCGCTGAATAAATATTGTGAAGAAGCCCAAATCAAATTTACTGAGAACCCTGACATATTGTTTTTTAATTGTCAATCTTATAGAGGATAGGAATCATACCCCGGTATTAAAACTCAATGTTTTGGAAAAAAAAACCACGGTACGGGTGGGGGTTGAAACTATTTAGTTTTACGATTCACTCACCATGGGTTCAAACTCCACCCATCAGCGCTGTATGACCCTTGTGGGTTTAGCTCTTAGTTATGTTTATAATAATCAAACCCCACCCATACCGTGGATTGTTTGCAGTCGTGTAGTTACGATTTTGTGAGTCATTGTTATGGCTGCAGTAATGTGAGTGACGATCAGGATTTAAACAAGTTTATAACAATGGTTTACAAAAAAAAAAAATAGGAAATTAGAAACACGGAATGGACTGACAAACATAGGCTGTGGAAAATTGCATTTATCTGAATGTAACTAATTACCTGGAGTTTACCTGGAGAGAGTTTCGGGGGTCAACGCCCCCGCGGCCCGGTCTGTGACCAGGCCTCCTGGTGGATCAGCCCCTGATCAACCAGGCTGTTGCTGCTGGCTGCACGCAAACCAACGTACGAGCCACAGCCCGGCTGATCAGGAACTGACTTTAGGTACTTGTCCAGTGCCAGCTTGAAGACTGCCAGGGGTCTGTTGGTAATCCCCCTTATGTGTGCTGGGAGGCAGTTGAACAGTCTCGGGCCCCTGACACTTATTGTATGGTCTCTTAACGTGCTAGTGACACCCCTGCTTTTCATTGGGGGGATGGTGCATCGTCTGCCAAGTCTTTTGCTTTCGTAGTGAGTGATTTTCGTGTGCAAGTTTGGTACTAGTCCCTCTAGGATTTTCCAGGTGTATATAATCATGTATCTCTCCCTCCTGCATTCCAGGAATACAGGTTTAGAAACCTCAAGCGCTCCCAGTAATTGAGGTGTTTTATCTCCGTTATGCGCGCCGTGAAAGTTCTCTGTACATTTTCTAGGTCGGCAATTTCACCTGCCTTGAAAGGTGCTGTTAGAGTGCAGCAATATTCCAGCC